GACCCCAGGGAGTTAAAAAAACTCAAAAAAACTAATTAAAATCTGTAAGTTTGAAAAGTAGCATTTTCTGGTCAAATGGTAGTCAAAAAGTGCTCAAACACAAATAAATTTTTTGCTCGAAAAGTTACAGAGCTACAAGGCTGAATCTTGCTGGGAATATCCAAATGGACTATCTCTACATGTGGGAAAAAACAGAACTCAAATATCTGCCATAGATCAAAAAATAATTTTGGTCAGTTTTCATGCATATAGGCCATAGGGACCAAATATGGCCAATGACCAACTTTGCCAAATATGCCAATTTCTCTCATGTTTTGGTCTTTTCCTACTAATTAGACCCCAGGGAGTTCAAAAAACTCAAAAAAACTAAATAAAATCTGTAAGTTTGAAAAGTAGCAATTTCTGGTCTGCACAGTGGTAGTCAAAAAGTGCTCAAACACAAATAAATTTTTTGCTTGAAAAGTTACAGAGCTACAAGGCTGAAACTTGTTGGAGATATCCAAATGGACTATCTCTACATGTGGGAAAAAACAGAACTCAAATATCTGCTATAGATCAAGAAATAATTTTGGTCAGTTTTCATGCATATAGGCCATAGGGACTAAATTTGGCCAATGACCAACTTTGCCAAATATGCCAATTTCTCTCATGTTTTGGTCTTTTCCTACTAATTGGACCCCAGGGAGTTCAAAAAACGCAAAAAAACTAATTAAAATCTGTAAGTTTGAAAAGTAGCAATTTCTGGTCTGCACAATGGTAGTCAAAAAGTGCTCAAACACAAATAAATTTTTTGCTTGAAAAGTTACAGAGCTACAAGGCTGAAACTTGCTGGGAATATCCAAATGGACTATCTCTACATGTGTGAAAAACAGAACTCAAATATCTGCCATAGATCAAGAAATAATTTTGGTCAGTTTTCATGCATATAGGCCATAGGGACTAAATTTGGCCAATGACCAACTTTGCCAAATAAGCCAATTTCTCTCATATTTTGGTCTTTTCCTACTATTTGGACCCCAGGGAGTTAAAAAAAACTCAAAAAAACTAATTAAAATCTGTAAGTTTGAAAAGTAGCATTTTCTGGACTGCACAATGGTAGTCAAATAGTGCTCAAACACAAATAAATTTTTTGCTCGAAAAGTTACAGAGCTACAAGGCTGAATCTTGCTGGGAATATCCAAATGGACTATCTCTACATGTGGGAAAAAACAGAACTCAAATATCTGCCATAGATCAAGAAATAATTTTGGTCAGTTTTCATGCATATAGGCCATAGGGACCAAATATGGCCAATGACCAACTTTGCCAAATATGCCAATTTCTCTCATGTTTTGGTCTTTTCCTACTAATTGGACCCCAGGGAGTTCAAAAAACACAAAAAAACTAATTAAAATCTGTAAGTTTGAAAAGTAGCAATTTCTCGTCTGTCCAATGGTAGTCAAAAAGTGCTCAAAC